GGTCAATGCACTTGTTGAGATAATTGGGCAGATGGATGATGTGTATAGTGCCCGTATATTGTTAATCAAATCTGTACAAATATAATCACTTGAAATTCTTCTTGATTCAAAACAGCTTCCTGTGAAATAAACATTTTTGTAACTGTACATTTTAACCTTTATGCCCTACTCATATGTGTGACTAGTAATCTTATTTGTTGATATTAAACATTGATTATTTAAAGATTTGCAATTAAATGTTTCTTTTTAAAAAATATATTTTATTGATTATGACATTACAGTTGTTCTGTTTCCCCCCTTCAGTCCCCTCCACCCTGCACACCCCTCCCCCACCATTCCCCCCCTTTAGTCCATGAACACGTGTCTCAAGTTCTTTAGATTCTATATTTCCCCTACTAATCTTGCCCTCCCCCCTATTTTCTACCTACCATCTATGCTACTTATTTTCTGTACCTTCTCCCTCTTTCTCCTTCTTCCACTCCCCTGTTGCTAACCCTCCATGTGATCTTCATTTCTATGGTTCGCTCCTGATCTAGCTATCCTCTTAGTTTGCTTTTGTTTTAGGCGTGGTTGTTAATAACTGTCAGTTTGCTGTCCTTTCACTGTTAATCTTTTTTATCTTCTTTTTCTTCGATAAGTCCTTTTAACATTTCATATAATAAGGGCTTGGTGATGATGAACTCCTTGAATTTGATCTTATCTGAGAAGCACCTTATCTGTCCTTCCATTCAAAATGAAAGCTTTGCTGGATAGAACAATCTTGGTTGTAGGTCTTTGGATTTCATGACTTGGAATACTTCTTTCCAGCCCCTTCTTGCCTGTAAGGTCTCTTTTGAGAAATCTGCTGACAGTCTGATGGGAAGTCCTTTGTAGGTGACTGTCCCCTTAGCTCTTGCTGCTTCTAGGATTCTCTCCTTCATTTTAATCTTGGCTAATGTAATGATGATGTGCCTTGGTGTGTTCCTTCTTGGGTCCAAGTTCTTTGGGACTCTCTGAGCTTCCTGGATTTCCTGGAAGTCTATTTCCTTTGCCAGATTGGGGAAGTTCTCCTTAATTATTTGTTCAAATAAGTTTTCCACTGGTGGCTGTTTCTCTTCCCCTTCTGGTACCCCTATAATTCTGATGTTGAAACATTTAAAGATGTCCTGAAGGTTCCTAAGCCTCTCCTCATTTTTTTGAATTTTTGTTTCTTCATCCTTTTCTGTTTGGTCATTTTTTTCCTCTTTCTGGTCCACTCCTTCGATTTGAGTCCCAGTTTCCTTTCCATTACTATTGGTTTCCTGTGCATTTCCCTTCATTTCAATTAGTTTAGCCTTCATATGTTCCTCTAATTTGTGACTAAAATCAACCAGTTCTATGAGCATCCTAATCACCAGTGTTTGAACTGTGCATCTGAAAGTTTGGCTATTTCTTGGTCACTTAGATTTATTGGCTCTGGGGCTCTGAGTTGTTCTTGAGCCGTGTTTTGGACTGTTTGTGCCTGTTATGTATGAGGAGCAGAGGCTTAAGTGTTCACCAGGGTGGGGCCACCCAGGTCGCTGTTTTGTGATGCTCTATGTGGGGGCGGGGTCAGATAGGGACAATCAGAGAGGGACAATGGTGGTCCCTCTGCCGCTTCCCACCACTAGGGCCTGCAAGGTCTGTCTCAAGGCTCTCTCCTTCATCGGTTTATCTACACGCGAATGTGTGACCATTGTCAGCCCTCAGTGAGTCCACTGCCTTGTGCCCTCAGTGGGTTCGCCTGCTACTCCACACCTGGGATCTGCCCACAGCTGCCGGAGTGCCTGGATCGTGAGCCTGGGTTGGTCTGGTGGATCTTTCCTGCCAGACCCCTGTCTGCTGCTGGCTCTGCCTCTCTTACAGGTTTGGCTGAAGGGTTCGTTGTTGTCAGACTTCCGTATAGTTCAATTTTCCATGGTTTGGCTGCATTTTTGTTGCTAAAACTTTGTTCTTTTTAAACTGGGTTGTGCAAGGAGGTACAGTGCGTCCACCTACGCCTTCATCTTGGCGGAAGTTGCAGTTAAATGTTTCTACCCGAACATTATAAGAATGGACACAGCTTATAAATGAATTTTATTATTATATATACAGTAATTAGAAAAAAGATTATTAATATGAAGTAAAACAACAGTAGGGCCAAAACTGTAGATCAACAATGATATTATATTTATGAACTATTTACATATCATAACATGTTATTGTATATACTTCTTTCATTTTTTAATTACTTATACTTTATATGTGTTCCTGATAAGCGCTAATTTTTTATAATAATCATAAGAATAACAGCATTTATATAGCTGCTCATTGTATGAAATCCTCAGGTTTCTGAGTTTATTTTTAAGGTAATGTGAAAATTATATTACTTTAATTGCAAAAGCATGTCTTTTAATCTGGGACAGCATATTGATATATGTTTTGCATGTGATAGGGATATACTGCTATTCTTTCAAAAGTCTGAGTACACCGAAGTGCCAAGCTGCCTGTTCGCAGTACCTGTGTGAAGACAGCCACATGCCCATTACTGCCACTATATGGCTGGTTGTCTGACCATCATCCTCAGACATTAAATCCACGCAACAGAACTTCAGAGCATGTTGACTCTCAGGATTAGTTGCAGTGCACAATTGCCTGATGAGTATGGAATATTGGCTTTTATTAATCTTTCGGTGATAACACAGACTATATTTTTAAGCTCAAGGTGTTCAATAAAGAATCAATTTTAATTTAGGGACTAAATAAAATCCTCATTAAACCTGACAAGTAGTAGTCTAAAGTAATCACAAAGCATTTTACTTTAAATCAAAATGAGTTCTACCCTAAATGCTCCCTATTCTGGCATTATGCTAGCAAGGAATCAAGAGTATAGTTTTTTTTTTCAGAGAATGAAGTATCTCTAAGAAAGTAGTGCAAAAATCTAGTCCCGAGGTGCAATATTTCTGAGATGAATAAATAAGAACATAAACACAGGATAACTAGATTGTCTCATTCTGTAATCTCAGTGTCAATATTTTGGGTAAAATAAATAATTATTTTCTTCAGAAATGTCTATCAATTGATAAATTATTAAATTTTGACAGTTTTTTAGTAAAATTTAGCATTAAAAAAGCCACTCTAAAATATGAGTCTTTTTCAGCTCTGTTTGGTGTGGCTCAGTGGATTGAGTCCCAGCCTGCAGACCAAAGGGTTGTAGGTTTAATTCCCAGTCAGGGCCCATGCTTGGTTTGCAGGCCAGGCCCCCAGTGCAGGGTGCTCGAGAGGCAACCACACACCAATATTTCTCTCTCTCTTTCTTCATCCCTTCCACTATCTCTAAAAATAAATAAAATGTTAAAAAAAATAAAATGTGTTCCTTTTTCAGAGTAGGAATCAATTTTATTACACTTGTATTTACCCATGATTAAATCAGGTTAGCCCAGTTCTGTTTAGCTCTATTACCACAAAAGATGTCTACTTTGTATTGGTTTCAATAGTAATATTTTATTATTCTCTTTAGAGATTTCAAGTTATTTTAAATTATAGGATATTGACATTTGTGGACAATAAACTGTAAGCTTAGTGTCATTATTAGGCTGAACATAAGAAAATGAGAATTAATTTTCTTCTTCTTTTAAATTACATTCATTGGAGTGACATTGATAAGTAAAAGTATGTAAGTTTCAAGTGTATAATTCTATAATACATAATCTGTAGGTTGGATCATGTGTTTACACCTGTTTTTTTCAATCATCATATAAATGACTCCCTTTAACAATTTCTTCTTTGTCCGTGGGTCCTTTGTACAAGTTTCTTGTCTTGACCCTTCCCCTTCTTTCCCCCATTATTCCCTTCCAGCTTCCCCTCTGGTCACTGTAATTTTGTTCTTTATTTCCAAGTCTCTGGTTCTATTTTTCTCATTTGTTTGTTTTATTGATTAGGTTACACTTATAGGTGAGATCATATGGTATTTGTCTTTTACCTCCTGGCTTATTTCACTTAGCATAAAGCTCTCCAGTTCCATCCATGCTGTCACAAAGGGTAGGAGTTCCTTCTTTCTTTTTTCTGTGTAGTATTCCAATGTACCACATCTTTTTTTATCCAGGTGTCTATTGAAGGATAGTTTGGATGTTTCTATTTCTTGGCCACCAAGAATAATGCTACAATGAACACTGGGGTGCATATATCTTTGCAAATACATGTTTTCAATTTGGGGGGAGATAGATACCCAGAAGTGGAGTTGCTAGGTCATATTGTAACCCTGTTCTTAATTTTTTAGGAAGCCCCATACTGTTTTGTATAATGGCTGTGCCAGTTTACATTTTGCCTGCAGTGAATTAAGTTTCCCTTTTTCCACTTCACTAGCTATTAAAGAATGCAAACCAAAACTACAGAGATACTACCTCTCACACCTGTTAGAATGGCTGTTGACAACATTAGAAGTAATAATAAGTGTTGAAGAGGTTATAGAGAATCAATTCATGAAAATGGTTTTACTTCTGGGGTAGATATTATTCATTTCTATAAATCAAGGCTTTAGATATATTTTAGTATTTAAATATTAACTTTTTACTATTCTTTTTTGTTTGCCTAAACATTTTTAACACCGTATTTTATTGTCTTTAAAATGATTGTCATAATAATTGGTAAGTTTATTTTACAACTGTCTAATAAAACTTTGTGGTTATATTTTCTTTACTTCTTTTATAATGAGAGTAAGTCTTTCCTACCAATATTCTTTTGGCCACTGAGTTGTGCTTAAGCATTATTTAACTTTTAAATCAAAATCATGTTGTGTTGAATCAGATATTAAATTAGTTAACATGGGTAGACTGAATAAATTAATTTTTACCTCTAGTTTATTTTAAAGTATATGAGTTAATTTCCATAGTAAGTCTAAAATTCTAAATATTTGTGATAGGAATCAAAATAAAATTAGCATTGGTGTTAATAATGATTTAAATTTGCATAAGCACATTCTTTCTTTCTTTTTCTTTTCCTCCTTTTTTTTTTTTTTACTTCAGGTGCAATAACAGAACCCAGTGTGCAGTCGTGGCAGGTCCTGATGTGTTTCCAGACCCGTGTCCAGGAACCTATAAATACCTTGAAGTGCAGTATGAATGTGTCCCTTACAGTATGTATATTTCTATCATTTTCTTGTAAATAAAAAAGATATTAAGTTTTGTTTGCATGCATCGACAAAATATTCTTTATGAAAACAGTAAACTAATAGAAATTATATGAAAAAAATGGGTAATTTAATTTTTCAAGATCATAAACTCTTCTCACCATTGGAAGAATTAGATGTTACTTATATGATAATGCAGCTTTTAATTTTGACTATACATTTCTGTACACTGATATCTCTTCTAAAATTCACTTCTTGATGTAAGAATGTGAAACATTTTTAAAAAAGGTTGAAAGGGGTATGCCAGTATACATTGCCTCAGGTCCAAGTAAAAAGTAGTGAGCATCAATAATATATATATATACACACATGTATAGAAATTGGTAAATTTTGAATTTGATCGAAGCTATTTTATCTCAGTTTCCTGTGCTATCAGTATTTCAAGAATAAAAAATATGTTCATCAAAGGAGAGTAGACTGAAAAAAATATAGCATTATAAGGACTAAAATACTCTTCAGAATGTATCTTTTACAGCCACAATAAGTAAGTCTTTGCAACCTTTATGTCAGATATGCTATATACCAACAACTTATTTTTTCTTTAGAAATAATGAAGAATCAAACAATGAAAAATGAAACATTTTCTGACTATTTTACCCAAGGGAAATATCACCATCTCAAAGGGAAGTATTTTTGAGCTGTCTAGTTCATTATTCATGAGGTTCCTTAGTGAAGCTCACTCAGGGAATCCTGCATTCTCCTATTAGAGATTTAGTTAATCCCAGAGGTACAAAACAGCTGAGATCATAAACAGAACCAAAGTTCCAACTTCCTTTGACATCTCAGAAGAAGCAAAGTGTCTAGAGATAAGCAAATCGACTGCCAAGAGACAGCTATAGGCTTGTCTCTTTCCTGCTTCTTTAAGAAGCAGCACATTTACTCATGAGTTGTAAGTGAACAATTTGACCAGCAAAAAGTGAACTGAATTTTTTCAAATAATAATGAAAACAAACAAGACAAAGCTTTATTTGTGCTTTTTTAAATAGTGCAGTTGACTAGATAAAGTTCGGTGAAATTTTACAAAGCTGATTTTTTTTTAGTTATAAAAAATCTCAGTTTGTAGGTTTGGCCAAACTATCAACTGAGGTCATGCTTGTTGCATTGTTATCTCAGGAACCTTTCTATGAAAATAGGAAGCTTATACTGACATTTTTTATTTACTAATAGTTTAAGGAAACACTATTTGAGGTCCAGTTTAACTTACATGGCGCAGCATGTTGCGTTCATCTACATTATCTTCAGTATGTTTGAGTTAAAAGCATAATTGGTAATACCTTTAGTAAGTTTAACTTGATTTAAAAAGTAATCCAGAATAAAATATAAACCATTCAAATAAACTATAGGGACTCATTGAAAATGTAGATTGATTTAGGAGAAAGATCTGCAGAGATCAGGAAGCCTGGGTGTGGTTATGAAACTCACAGCCTGGGTCCTTTAGTTCATGTAGGCTCATGAAATTTTCTAGATCTCACCTTGTAGATAGATCTTCCCTGATCTGCAGTAAATTTTGAGTTTGACCAACACTGAGCTCTTTTTCTTCTTGCTAGCAAAAAGCAAATAGTCTTTCCCAATGCTGAAAATATCCACTTACTTATGATAGGCATCATTTATTGACACCTACTGCATGCCCTTTACAACATGGATTAAGTATTTACACAGCCCATTTTATTTAGTTCTTACCCTATCCTCACTGTTAGGCATGAGCATCACCATTGTACTGGAGAGGAAACTGAGGCTCCACTGGGTGGGTAAATGTCTCTTGGAAAATGCAGAATACCTAGAAAACGGCAGAACCAAGACTTGAGTTGTCATTAATACCTGTGCTTAAGGACCCAGCTATGGTTGTCCTCACAGATTTTGTTCTTTATATTTTTTATGACTTAGTAAATCTTCGATATTTGACTTATAATTTTGTGTCAGTACAGCAATGGCACATGCTGAAAGCAAGTCCTCTAAAGACCCATTCCCTTTTCTGAGTTCTTTTGCTGTTTACTTTTAAGAGATTTATATGTCTTTCTAAAAGCAGATGAATCAGCACAAACTTTTATTTTTCTCAACACGTAATAAAGGCTTATGACATAAAGTAGTTACTTTCCATAAAAAAAATGCTACCCACTGTTTAGAATCAGGCTCTTAGCAAAGTAGTAAATTAAGAAGTTTTTTAAATTACCTGTACTGTAAGAGTAAATTTTGTGCTTAACACTTGTTAAAATATCCCTAATGCATTATTAGAATATCAAGTTAAGAGTTAAGGTTAATTAATGTTTGAAGATTTTCATTTTTTATTGTTCTACGAGTGCAGTTGTCTCCATTTTCAAATTGAACAACTTGAATACACAAAGAAAAATGTTAACTGCTATTTCTTATACAATTCAGTAATATTCAGCTTCTTTTTGAATTTAAGACAACAAAATTCACTGTATATAGTGATATATGTTTTCTTAATATTTATTTTTGGACAGGTATTATCGACATTTTCTTTTAAACATACTCTTTCTGTGCATTTCCACAGTAATACTGATTTTTAAGGTGATACTTTTTTAAAGGAAAAATAGAGAAAAAATGAAAATATAGAAAAACACTTAAATACTTAGGAAAATATATTACTATCAATGATATTTAAGCATATCACAGCTAATTAAGACAAAAATTCAACAAATTTTATTATGTTACACAGAAAAATATAAAGTTAAAAATAGCAAAGGGAAGCTTGCAATAAATTTTCACAGATTTTTAAGAGTCAGTAAATATGTATATAATTTAGCATCGGTAGTTTTAGAAGAGACTGAGACTGAATCGAACATTTGATATGGCTTTTATTAAAAGATACTGACCAGAAAGAAATTTAAGAAAAATTAATGATTGAAAATAATTTAATGAGGCCACCTTCTTTGAGTGTCTTGCACTCATTTTTTCTGAATTGCTGTAGTTAATCTTTTAACGTTTTTCTTCCTGCCCAGACATTCTTGTTTGGATTCACAGATAACCTGTTAGTGACCAAATTTGGGACAGACAAATTGATTCTTTTCTCTGTTTCTGTCACACCTTAGTTCCAGTGTGACTTACAGACTGTGTGTTTTCTTTGGAGGTTTGATTTTTCTCCTTAGTGGTATTTTCTCCCCAGGAGATGGCACAGATATTCCAGGGGCTAAACCTCAGTGTTTACGAATGCCCCATTTTTGCTCTCTTGGTTTGCTCCTTCTCACCCTACCCTGCTCCCTTCTGGTGAGATTTGGGATTGAAGTTGTGGCTCCTTCAAGGAGAGCTTCTTTCATTTACCCAGTTTACAGAAATAACTTGTGTTAGGGAGAAAACAAGAAAACAACTAACCACCTACATAGAGTATTTCTGAGCAAAGACACTTTGTATCCTGCTGACAATTTGTCTTTCTTCCAAGGCATACAATTTCACGCACATTAAACTCAGAAAGTGCTCATCTTCTCTCACAGTCTTGCCTTTCTCTTCAACTCTTTGTTTCTTTGTTTCAGAAATACAAAGCACATATTACTTATTCTAACAGCCTTCTATCATGATGGATTTTGTTCAGAAGTGGAGGGAGGAAACATTCAATTTTTAGAGCTACTAAAAAGCAGTGTTTGATTAAATCAATCTTATATTATAGCACTGAAGAACTTTTTTACCAGTTATATTAGCCATCTGAAGAGTTATGTGAATGATTGTCTTTATGGAATAATGTATAAAATAAGTACTATTAAAACTAAATATTTTAAGAAATTATATGATCTTTTAGTTTAGCTTCTAAACTATAAGAAAAATGTATTGTTAGCATTTAAAACAGACAAAAGTCTTTAAGTAATTATAAATAACTACATTATAGCTAAAGTCCAAATAAGTGCATATTTTAATATATGCCTACATTGTTTTTATTCTATAAATAAGTAATTACATATTTTAAAACTTATTTGTGCTTAAAGGAAACCATATGTTTAATATTTAAAATATCACACAAATGACAAGATACAATCTGATACTCAATACACCTCAATATCATTTTCAGCTTCTGACATTAGAAAACATTAAATATATATATTGCATGATTGAAAGGAAAAGGGAAGTTTAGTTAAATGGTTCCAGAAGTATTATATCCATTACTAAAACAATAAATGTAAGAAATACTTGTCTAAAAATAAGATCTTATTAATCCAAAGGAAAGCTCTATTGCAAAAATGAGGATTATATAAATTTGAGTTTCTCCAAGTCGTTTGGTGATTGTGGTTTTATTCTTCAATGCTGCTAGCAACCAATTTGTTTTTCATAGTCTTCTACATCCCTCCATATAATACAGTGAGTATGGGCCCTTAACTATCATCCCTTCTATAAGAGCAGTGCCAGTATCCGAATTATTTTATTTTAGAATATTTATAACAAGAGGAACTATATTTATTTTCTCCCTTTTCTCTGTCACCAGTTCCTTTCTATCTCTGTTGAATAGTTTCGATTTCACAATTTCTTACACCTAAAAGATAATCCACAAAGCTTTTGCAAAGGGATCAGTAATTCCTTAGTATTTAACTTAAATGTTGTATTCTCAAACTATTATATATTTATGAAAAATTACTATCATCACTTTAGAAACCAGGAAGGATAGGTGGGCTATATTTTCTTGGAGTTTCTCATACTAAACTCTCTCATACTTTCAGGTGGCTGTTTCAAATGATCATGAAAATTATTCTCGATTACATTATATCATTTGCTTTCAATGCCTCTCACCTTATCTTTCTTCCATCACTGAGCATCTATTGCAGACCAGGAAATAGGCTAAACATTAGGGTAGAAAGGTAAGATAAAGATTCAGCTCTTAAGGAATGTAGTCAAATGGATCTCTAGGGCCCAAAGTTACTGTGTTACTAGCTCTGCAAAGCAATTGAACATTTTGTAGTAGCAGTTTACAGAGAAGACATCCCAGAGTGGCTGTTTGTATGGGG